TATATGCACACAAGAAAAAAGAGAGAGAGAGAGCATTGTAATTTCCGACAGAGATAGTATTGAAAAAATTAAATGAAAGAAATAACTACATTATTTCTTATCGTTATACAGCAAATTTTTTTTTTTTCTGTGATGAAAAGTGTGGTACTATTAAAAGATGTGACATGGATGCTAAATTGTTAAAGTTATAGTTGGGATTGTTGGAAGGTAGTTGTGAAGTAATAAATTTATATATTGCTTTCAGTTGTTCCAAGTTTATTTCCCATACAACTGCATGTCACTCAAGATGGCCACACAACAAGTAAATAAAGTCATAGTTTCATAACAAAAGGGTGTATCATTGCTCAAGATATAATTAAGCCAGACATATAAAGAATAGATGTAAGAATCCTAAATCTAATGTACAGATTGAAAAAGAGTGAAAACCAAATGCATATTAATTGGTTTGAAATTGAAATGCATTTAGTTTTTACTTATCTATTGTGTTTTGCCATTAAATGATTTTTTGTATGGACAACCACATCATATTTTTTGTACTTATAGTAGTGACAAGTTATGTAAATATGTTTGTATTCTAAGAAGTTTTTTGAAAAGCAAACTGTACAGCTACTATTGAAGTATACGAGATATTTTTTATGTAAAAAAATGTGCAAATGTAGTATGTATATATTGGAATTAGTGTAATGTGGTCTTTATGTTCGTTTCAAGTTTAAATACGTGCTAGTATATTTGTTTTGATAATTAACACTGCTAAAATCACTAACGTGGTATGAGACTATTGTTAATGTTTGTTGGGAATATATGGAATCCTGCTTGGGAATATATTGCTTGTTGATATTTCAAACGCTCACTTTTAAAACTTTCCAAAGTCATATGTGAATATATGAAGGTGACTTGGAAATATGCTAACTTTACTCAAGAATATTAATCCATTGACTCGTCAAATTTCATGCTTATTAATGTGTAGTTAGGCCACTTGAAAAATAAAGCTTCTTTACTGCTGAAGTCACTAATGTGACATGAGAATATTGTTAATGTCCATTAGGAATATATAGAATCCCACTTAGGAATATATTATTTCCTAATATTTCAGAAGCTCACCTTTGAAACTTTTCGAGGTCACGTATAAATATATGAAGGTGACTTAAAAATTTGCTAATTCAACTCAAGAATATTAATCGACTGACTTCTCAAATTTTCATGTTTGTTATGATTAGACTGCTTGAAAAATAAAGTTTCTTCACTATTGAAATCACTATCATGGCATGAGAATATTATTAATATTCATTGGGAATACATGAAACTTCACTTGAAAATAATTGTTTTCTACAATTTTAGAAACTCGCTTGTGAAATGTTTCAAGATGTTAACTTTACTCAAGAATATCAATCTATTGACTTATTAAATATCATGCTTGCTATAATTAGACCACTTATAAAATAAAGTGCCTTTATTGCTGAAAGCATTATCGTAGCATATGAATATTGTTGATGTTAGTTGGGAATTTATCCAAGTCACTTGAAAAAACAAGATAAACCACTACTGAATAAAAGGAGAGTCACTTTGATGTTTAACCAAAAATGCTTAACTATGGCAAGGAATGTAATAGAAGGAGCCATGATAGAGAGTGAAGTACAGGAGAATGCTATCATAGTTGGAGCTATGGTAGAAAGTGTGAAATAATTATGGCAATAGACCAAGGGATGAAAATCAATGATAGATAAAGCAATGAGGAAAGCCCAATGATCACTGGCAATTGATGCAACATTAGAGCATAAAGTTATGATAGGGCTATGGTAGTGATGAATGAAACAAGGAGACGTTGTAGGTGTGAACAATCCAGAATAAAATTAGAGCTTTGCATGGATATTTTGATTTTTTCTTGAAGGGCATTTAAAGTAATTTACATTTTTTAAAAATTCAAAGTAAAGACCATTGTCATTTTTGGAATTTCAATATTTTATGGTCCTCAATTAAAATTAATGACTTTAGGGGTCCTTAATTGTCATTTTCCCTATATCATACAAGGATGAGACCGCGGTGTTCAAAACCAATCAAAATCAATCATACCAAATTAAGTTAAACCAAATCTACATAAATTGATTAAAATTGATTATAAATGAGGTTTGATTTGATTTCTTTATTTTGGCAAAACTGATTAGTTTGGTTTGTTTTATTTTTTTTCTTCTGTAAACTTGAGCCAAATCGAACCAAATCTTATTGTATTTATTATATATTCCTTCCGTTTTAAATTATAAGATACTTTTAAAAAAATTTATCTTCTTAAAATATAAGACACTTTAAGAAAATTAATGTTTCATTAAATAAGTTTATTCCAACATTATCCTCTCTCTATATATATTTAATACTAATTAAGTGTAAATTTAATATTATTAAATCAATGGTATTTTTGAAAGTTTTATTTTTGTTTTTAAAAAAATAAGATTGTTAAGTGTATTTAATAAGATTTATTGATATGTGAGATTTTGTTTAAAATTATCCTATAATTTAGGATAAAGAGAGTATATTTTTATAAATTTTTCAATTTTTCCCTTTTCTAAGTTTAGTTATTTGTAAATCATTAATAAAAATAATTTACAATTAGCTAAATGTTACTTATAATTGTTTAAGACAATTTTTAATTTTATAATCAAGTGTTTTTAAAGCTAACACATTGATTTTTGATAGTTAAATATGATAATTAACTATTAAAAAAAATATTCTTTTGCATTCAGGAGATTTTTTTCATTGCAAATAATAATTAATAGTTAAAATTAGCAGTGAACATAAATATAAATTAGTGATTATGAAGAATATCTTATTAAAAAAATTGTCTTTCATGTTCTGCATATTTTTCTCTCTCTGTTCTGCATATTTTTCTTCATGTCTTGCAATGTAAGTCCATTTACTTCTCTAAATGATACGTTTTACTATCATTTAGCGAGTTTAATATTCTTAATTTTCCCACTCCAAAACATTAATGCTATAAGTAAGAACTGAGTTGTTTCGAAATTAACTCAAGCTGTATAATTAAGAGCATGATTTATGAAATGAAATGTTTTAACTACTTGAATTTTAAAGAATGATGAGAATGCTCAACTTAAAGTGAAGTATTGAATTTACATGAGATAGAATCAAATGAAACGATACCCTTGAAATAAAAATAAATTTTATTGAAAAAAATAATAAATGAAACAAAAGCCAGCCTTGGGAGATATTATATATGACATGGGAGAAGTGTGAGCCACAAGCACGAGGATACCAGAAACCAAAAACAGTATGAGAAACCAAAGTCGAAAACATCATCTTTTCCACTAACCAGTAATTCACAGACACCCCCTGTCGTATTTAAGAAGCAGCAATGAATGATTGTTTTAAAAATACTAGAATATTCTCGCATGCGGCTAGGCTAGTCTTTGTGTAAAAATTTATTTTTTTGAGAAAAAAATATAATGTCTTTATGACAATGCTATATGCTGCCATGCTAGTTCATCTTTTATTTTTCAATTAACATGGCTTAATATAAGTTTTAAAATAACTCAAAATGGGAAGTTTATAGTTTGGGTCTGTCCTTGACCCCAAAAGGGGTGAAAAAAATTAAAGTGTATTTTTAGTTATTTAATTTTATATAAATTTTAATTTAATTTTTTAATTTTAAGAAAAATCTTTTCAATCATCTAACCTTAATATCTTTAGTTTTAAATGATTATTTTTTTGTGCCAATCATTATTATTTTTTTAAAAAATTAAACTTAATATGTCAATATGTGAGAATATTTTGTTAGTATTTTAAAGTTTAATATATAATTTTTTTGGGATGAAACTAATGGTGTTAAGGGTAAAAAAATAAAAAAATACTTTATAAAATTAAGAGATTAAAATAAATTTTTATATAAAATTAAAATACTAAATAGACTACACTTTAACCAAAAAAAAAAAAAATCACTTGTTTTGTCTGCAGCTGTGTCTGGCTGGACTTATCAGCTCAATTTGTTTTGTATTGGGACTCATGATATTTGAATATATGATATTATTATATTTATATTATTGATTAATTGGTAACTAAATTATTTATTTTAAAAGCTGTTAATATTATAAAATGAGACTGTACCAATAAGCCATCTAAATTATCTATTCTCCTTTGTGATTCCACTTTTATTGATGTCCTCAACGGGACATTTATTCTTCTTATAAAATTGGTTATTCATTTTATTGGTCACTTTTAAAATTAAATTATTTTTCTATTTTCTATTCATTTATATTATTTTAAAAAATAATTTTAAATGTTTCATGTAAATTACATCCATATTAATCAATATTTATAGTGCATAAAAATATTAGTATTATTTATCTCACCAAAAATAATATTATTGTTATCATAATACTCCTTCCATCCTAAATTATAAAATACTTTTAAAACAATTAAACTTTTTAAAAAGATTAATGTTTTATTAAATATGCTTGTTTTAATATTACTCTTTTATTTATATTTAATTTTGGTTATTTTTTCTTTAAAATATAGTAAATGAAGTATTTTTTGAAAGTTTATATTTTTATTTTAAGAATAAAATTTTTAAGTGTTTTTAATAAAATTTATTGATATACTCTCTCTATTAAAAAATATAAAGTATTTTTAATTAAATTTTACTTTAATAAAATAGTTATCTACTTTTAAACTAATCTTTTTTTTATATTTATTTTTATTAAATATCTTACAATAAATAAAAAATTATTATTAATAGTGATACTTTTTAAAAAAATAATGATTGCATTTTTAAAAAATAAAAATGCTTCACATTTTTTTTACATTTAATTATTTAAAAAATATTTTATATTTTAAATGAAAGAAATATAAAATTTTATATAAAAATGTTTTATAATTTAAAATAAAAAGTGTGTATATATATTAAATATAAGTACAAATTCATGCGAGGTTCTCATGGAAGCGAGTCCATTTCTAAAACAAACTGTGAAGCTGACACTCTGATGCCGCGAATCGCCGTCATCGACGGCTTTCCTCTTAGTTACCGCCAAAACGGAAAACGAAAACCCGTTTACAATTGCGCAGTTGTTTCACTGTTTGACTTTCAAAAGCCTTGAAACGTGAACTACACGTACGAGTCTCTTCAAGCGTGTCACACGCGTGCAAAATAATCGCTGGCATAAGGCGGTGGTAGTTTTCCAGCATCGCGGAAAGGTGTTGATGGCGTTAATGCGGGTAGCGCAGCCCCCATCTGAGTTCATTTTTATGGTGGGGTCTACTCTCTCTCTCAATCTGTGCAGAGACAGCTATTACTGAGCCTGCCATAATCCCCACCAACTTTGAATCCCCTCATTCATGGCTTCTCTGTGCTTGCTCTCTTCCTTTTTCCCTCCTTTTCTTTCCTACACCCACTTCTGAATCATCTTCAATGCCATTTGCATTTTCACAAGTTTTTGTTTGTTGGGAACCTACTCTTTGATTTTGCGTTAACTTGCTGAGTGGTTTGGTTTCCCCTTGTGGGTTTTGTCAAGGGGTGGGCATGAAGGAAATGGTGTTGCTTAAGCTTAGTTTCAATCACTTCATTCTCGTGCAGCTGTTTTTTCTGGCTACCGGTAGGTGCTTTACGCTTGAATTCTGGCTTGGTTGCTGGGTTTTCTTCAAATTCTCGTAATTTGTAAGATTTCTGAAGTGTTGGGCCATCTTTGTGTTGCTGTTTTTTGGCGAAAATTCAAGAGATGTGTTTTTGTTTCTGTTGGGAAGATTAGTGTTTCTTTAGTTTTCTTTCTTAGAAAGGCTCAGCATGAGTATGTGTCTGGAGCTCCTTGATGAAATATCATTTATTTCGAGTTACTTAAAGTTGAACTCTACTCACTTGCATTTTTAAACCGTTGTTTAATTCAATTTGTGGATTCGGATTTTTCCATGCCGTCATCTAATGTTGAACATGGTAAAGTGGGATTGTTTAGGAGTAAGCAGAGTTAGGGTTTGGAACATCGTTTTCCCAAACAGTCGAGAACACTTCTTTGTCTGTAGCTTCGCCATATCAACATATCAAGTGAGAGATCTTAATATTCATTCTTGGTTTTAACTTAGCTGCTATCACTACTGACTGACGATATGGTTGCCCATGCTCACTTAATTTAAGTTGAGAACTAGTTTTCATTAACATAAGCTATGCGAATAAGCAGCATTGTGAATGGCAGGTCTTAGGCAAAGCTGTTGCAGTACTGAACATTTGAACTGACCACTATCGCATTACAAGGTGGCTTTCTTGATCTAGTCTTCTTGTGCAGAGTTCATCTTCCAGAGTACCAGCCAAAACAAATTCATGAATGGCAGAGCCGGGCCCATGAGTTTGAAAACTTAGTAGTGATTACCTGACGGCACCCCCTTTTCCTCCAAAACTTCACCGCTAAATCAATTAGGGCCTCTGTTTTAATGATGGCTTTTAGCTGTTCTAGAGTTTGAGCGTGAACAGTTTAGCCTTATCATTTTGTCCTCTGCTTCAGCTCAGTGAAGTCTTCTTCTGGCAATTTATTCCCATAGATCTCATATCGAAGAAGTTACAGTGTCAATTATATTTAAGCATTGTGTTTTGTGCTGTTTAAAACATAAACTTATCACTATATATCTCTCTCATCTGGCCATTGGAAGGTTTAATTGGGTTGGCACATGAACCATTGAAATAGAAAAACAAACCATTATCTGGAAGGTTGTATTTGTGAGAATTAATTACAAATGAGTTGATGATATTTATCTATGCTGAAGAGACTAATATCTATGATTTAATTCAAGTGGAATTTTGCTTGTCCCTTTGCCTATAAGCTATGTTCTGACGCTCTGTTGTTCGCAAAATTCAGCTTTTAATTCATGGCTTGTATTATTTTGTAACTCTAAGACGGCAGAGAATATAAACATGTATGACTCTCTACAAATGAGTTTATGATTCTTTGTAAGTTATTTTTCCTTGCCAAATTGCCCTTGAGGATTAGACGTGAGAGAGAGAGAGAGAGAGAGAGAGAGAGAGATTTTTTCCCCCCCCTTACTCATGTTTGGTACAGGTGCCCATGAGCTGCATGGCATTATCTTAGATCGTAGTGAAGATCCTATACAATTGGATAGCCATGTGGGTTCCATGATCCTAAAATCCCACCTCTTGGTGCTCCGCAGCCTCTTCTTCCTCTCCTTGCTCCTTCACCATTAGTTCCATTCACCAATACCTCCATCCCAAAATTATCAGGTTCTTTTCTAAATTCTGCAGTGGTATTTTGGAATTCTAAGACTTGAATGGAAATTTCTGTTGCATCTTGCATTTGATTACCTATCTCTTGTTGCTTTATATGCGACTGTCTGTTGCAGGGTTTTGCACTTTGAACTTCACTGCTGCTGAAAATTTGATGAGTGTGACAGCAATTGATTGCTGGGAAAGTTTTGCACCACTTGTAGCTAATGTAATATGTTGTCCCCAGCTGGAAGCCACTCTCACTATTCTCATTGGGCAATCTAGCAAGTATTCAGACATGCTTGCCTTAAATAGGACTCTTGCTAAACATTGCCTATCAGATGTGAAACAGATTTTGATTGCCCAAGGTGCCAATCACAGTTTGACACAGATGTGTTCAATTCATTCTTTAAATCTCACTGAGGCATCTTGCCCAGTCAAAGACGTAAATGAGTTTCATGACGTAGTGGATACGTCTAAGCTTCTTGTTGCTTGTGAGAAAATTGATCCCATTAAAGAATGCTGTGATCAAATTTGTCAGAATGCTATATTAGAAGCAGCTACAAAAATTGCATCGAAAGGTTCTGATCTTTTGGGCTTAAATGGGCCACATGTCCTACCTGAGCACTCTACTCGGATCAATGATTGTCGAAGTATTGTGCTGCGGTGGCTTGCTAGTGAGCTTGATCCTTCTAATTCTAAGAAGATTCTGAGAGGACTATCTAATTGCAACGTTAACAAAGGTGAGCTAGAACAGAGTGTTATGTCATGTTGATACGCTAAAGATTATATAGATTTTGAGTTGGGGTGGATTCTCCAAACAAAAGGTGTAATTTGAGTACGCCATTGACTTTTGAAAACATATGAGATCAGCATCTAGAGAAAGATTGTTAGTGGGGTGTCATCATTCACTTGTGCTTGTGGATTGTTACGTTTCGGCTGATTGTCTTTTTCTGTCTGCTTTAAGCATATGCACAATGGTCATCATTTTGTGATTTTGGTAGATACCGGCTGGCTCATTAAATAGTTTCAATTGGTCTTATTACTGCTTTCAATGCCATTATGAGTTATGAATGTTATTGTATGGAGAGTTCAGCTCCCTGTAGTACTGAATTCCTTCACTTTGATCTTATACTGGCTTCTGCCGCAGTTTGCCCACTGGTTTTGCCTGACATGAGACATGTCGCTGAGGCTTGTAGAGATGGGGTAAAAAACAAGACATCCTGCTGTGATGCCATGGAAGTGTATGTGTCTCACTTGCAAAGGCAGAGTTTCATCACAAATTTACAAGCTTTGGATTGTGCAGAGGCTCTGGCTATGAAACTACAAAAATCAAACATTACCAAAGATGTTTATAGTCTCTGTCATGTAAGTCTCAAGGATTTCTCGCTTCAAGGTTAGTTTTAGCTCCCTATTTCAGTTGACTAGCAAAACAGAAAGACTCAATTCTTATATGCGCGCGTGTATTTTCATCTAATGGTCCTGTTTTTTTTCCTCTTTTCATTCTACCAATTCAACATGATGTGGAAGTCAACCATGTGGATGTTTCAGTTAATACTCAAGGTAACATATTCGAATTATAATGCAATATTACATGTGTTGGCAAAGTGATTGAAGTATTCAATTTTTTTCCCCAAACAGAGGCTGGTTGTTTGCTACCTAGCTTGCCTTCAGATTTAACGTTAGATACGACTGGGATTAGCTTCAATTGTGATCTAAATGACAATATTCCAGCGCCTTGGCCTTCTGCATCACAAGTGGCGACTTCAGCATGTAATAAAAGTATGTTTAAGACATTGAAAGTATAGATACTTTTTCTGGTTGGTTTTATTCCCCTTTAGAGAGGGAGAGAGGAGTAGACACGGAGAAGTCTTCTTGGAGGAGTTATAATTATTTCACAACTTTCTGGAGGAGTTTAAATTATTTCATAATTTTCTGTAATTTTTTTTAATTAATTTGTTAATTTTACTTTTTTGGATCTACAGCTGTCAACATTCCTGCCCTTCCTGCAGCAGCAAATGGTCAAAGTTGTAAGAGCACCTTGTCAACCAATTATTTATTCAGCAATCTAATAGAAGTCCTTAAACATAGCTCTTCCTGAAGCATTTGCTTGTTTGAAGTCCTGAATATTTCTTCTTCTTTTTGAATTGATAAGCCCTGAATATTTCAAATCTTATAATCAATTGTATGGTATTATAGATCTTAAAGAAAATACAAATTAAGATTGGAATTGTAAGCTGGCCTGGTCACTGGTCTAAATTCACAGTTTGGTCTTTGGAAGATAGCACTAATTTGAGTTTTGTCCCGGAAACGACGATGTACAAGTGAGTCCTTCATTTCCCTGATTTTAAAATCAATAATCTTTTGGTGAGCTATCAAAATGACTAAATCAAACCCAAATGATTCCAGGACTCAATTACATTTTTTTTTTCAAGGAACTAAACTGAAATAAGTGATGATTTAAAGACCAAAAATGTGAATTTAGCCTTTTATTAAGACCAGATCTTGATACAGACAGAGTTCAGTGGTCTTGTTTTTTCCATGCCTGCTTGACTTATTTTTGTGTTTTTGCAGGCCTCCAAAGTGATTATGTGCTGTGTCCTATGCTTTTCGCTTTCTCCCTGCTCCTTATGACACTCGGCTAATTACATGGGTTTTCTTCTTAATGCAGCCTTCTTAGTCGTTCAACTACAGTTATTTTTGGGTGAGTCTTAATCCAAAGGTTAATTGTCATCCAACTCTGACAGGTTTTGGTAATAGAAAATTAGTCCGCAGGGCAAAGAGGTCTGTTTCCGATATCGTTAATTCATGATTCTTGCATGCTTGTGTAATAAAATTGTGTATAGGAAGCTTAGGAGATTATAGGTTATACAGTAGCTTGTTGAAATTGAGATGCAAACCTGTATTGCAGTGGAAGAAGCTTTTTTAAGCGTCTATTAAGTATTATTGCCATCTTGTGAAGTGCAATATCTCAATGAGCTTACAAATTATTTCATATCCATGAATTTGATCTAGCCCCTTCAAAGGAGACAGGAGATGGTTAAAGTTTTCTAAGTGTATTGGTCATTTAAATTGGATCATCAGCAAAATGCGAATACGTATAGGGCCTACATATCATAATTACACTCATTTACGTTTTTTCTTACTGGTCTCTACCTCTCATTTACTTTTGTCCTCTCTAGAGGATCTGGACTGATTGGTTCTTAGTCAGAGGTGTTGTAAGATTTTGTTCAGGTTAAATTCTCTCAACATGTATTCTCCCACGTCGATGCATTTAAGAATTTACTGCTTAAGTGCTACCTAGAAGAAAGAAACTCATGTTTTAAGGATCACATGTCATGTCTTTAGGATTGTTTGTGGACAAGTGTAAATTTCTTTATGGGAAGTGAAGTCTATTGGGAGACCAAATGCATTACCTCCTAGAGGTTAAAAGACTTGCATGTGTTAGTCAAGGGAATGTCATGCAGGATTTAGTTGTGGCCGACCAAGCACATTTGTGAAATTGTGGATAGCATTGAAAGTGCCTATCTACAACTGTTTCCAGCTACTGATTGTACGCATTTACTGCTGGGAAGTGGTCACTGGTTATTGAGGAGAGAATTTATTTCGGATTTCATTTAATAATACAGAACAGTTGAATCTGAAATTCAGATTCATTTCAGCATTTTTTGGGGTTATGCATTCATTTCATGATTTCAGGATTCAAGTCTTGCTCTTGCCTTTTTATCCAGATCAAAAGACTTCTTTTTTTTCCCCAAATACAGAGTATTAGCATGTTTAGGCCGAAAAAAAAAACGTTGCATAATTTGATTTGTTGCTTCCGCACAAGGGTGCTTATTTTTAGGATATGGCCAATCTGCACAAGTAATTGAAGACAAATTGTGCTAGATGCAATCCTGTTATCCCACTAAAGGGGCAAATGATAATGAAATCTTAGCATATCACGACTTCTGGAATTTTAAACTTGTAAATCAAAGATTCATCCCATCACAAATCATCCGGCATATCTAATAAACTAATAAAATAGTGCCAATAATTCAACAAGTGTGATAACAAAACATAAAGATGACTCATAATGCTTCAATTCAGCTTGCCTTGGCATGATCTTATACTGTATAGTCAATGAATATAATATAAGAAAACATAACTTTATATCTCTATAGTTTATAATTTGTTTGCATTTTGTTATTGGTCATAGTAAGTTTTTTTTTGGTGTTTTTGGTCTTTGTACTTTTATTTTTTATTATTTTAGGTCCCTTCAGAAATAATGTAGAAGAACTTAGGAGGGATTTTTAAAAAAAAAAAAAAGTACATGGATCAAAAACATTGAAAAAAAGTATAGGAATTAATAATAAAATGTGAGTAAAATACTAAGATCTAAAGTTATATTTTTCCCTATAATATTCAAAGTTCTACTCTAATCTTTATATTTTGTGCTGGTTTATCTCGTTTTCATGAAAAACAATCTTGAAGTTATTAAGCAGGACATTGTTTCCCTATTATGTTCTTTTTGCCTTGTCTGTATTTGTATTTCTAATGAGAACTTGTTAGCTAATTTCTAAATTCCTTCTAATATTTTGGCAACATTTATGTTGTGATTTCCCTTTTTATTATATTATAAATTGATATTTTTATAAATAAAAAATAAATACGACAGAGATTAATACCCATAACTTAAATATAACCAAAAGAGAGAGAGGGAAGTAGCTATACTCTCTAGATAGTATCCATATTTGTTGTAGGATTGCAGATGATTTACAAGCCAAGTGGAAGCATCTTTTTATAAGCAGAAACAAGTATGCTAGGGTTTTAACTAAAAGATCTAGGTTGTGTCTAGTTCATTCTTCTGATCTTGACTTAACGTGACACCTTATATATGGGGTTGGCGCCCTTTTTGACGTAAATAATTATTCTGAGCTAATATAAGATTTCATCCTTCTCCTTCTTAAAAAAAAAAAAAAAGCTCTAAATTCCTAGAGGACATAACTATAGCAAGTTTCTTTTTCGAAAGCTTAAGTCTTGGAGAAGTAAAGAACATGCACACCAACCAACAGGTGTTGGTTTCAGTAGAATGAGCTATTATTGTTTAAGCACGATGTCTTGAATTCAAGTTCGCGTGAAATGTCAAAAAACATCTTTTAGAGAGCTACTCCCAAATTGAATATAACCATGCTCGAATCCGAGCAAGTTTTGGGAAGGGAAAAAAGGAGGGGGGGGGGGGTTGGGCATGTACACCATGAACTACAACGCACGCCAATTCCCCATAATTGTGGTGACATATGAGTTGAACAGAGGAGGAAGGCTCATCTTCTTCGTCCGAACAATCGCTTCCAGGATTTCAAGTGAAGCACAATCCTCTTCCTCATCCTCCTCATTCTGCTCCCAATCTTGACTTTGATCTTTGAGATTCTGACTCCCAAACATGACAAAGCCTTGCTCTGAGAATCTGCTCGCTCCAAGGCCTTGTAGATCAAGAACTGGGCTCTTCTGTGGATTCTCTCTTCTGGTTCTTCCTTCTCCATCTTTGAATAACCTGATGGTTTCTTCAATAAAATGGCCATATTCTGAGATGAAGATGTGCAGATGAAGACCACTTTGAAAGCAATATTTATAGGAGGGCATGATCAGTACTTATCAGTATTTTAATAAATCAGACAATAAATAAAATATTAGGAAATAAAAATAAATTATATGTTGAATGTATATTATCCCTCATATGAAAAATAAACACCTGTATCAAATACAAACTTCCTTAGAAAACATAGGCTTTTAACTTGTTTCTATCTGCTCAGAAGAGCCTGCATGAGATGTGTCAAACTCTATTGTTTAATTAACACGAATGATCTCATCCACAGCTATAAATTTTCCATCCTGAAGCTCAGGAAAAAGGAAAGTTTAAAGCTTAGGTTTTGTAGACTGTGACATATTTAGAAGTTGATTCATAATTTTGGTGCAAATTGCCATAAGATAGTGACACCATTTGCGTAAGCCTTGGTTAAGAATCTGTCTCAGACAGAGCATTATGTCCACAAACTTAGGATCATATAATTTATTTGGTTAAATTACAGCCGCATGCACTCGAGGTTGTTCAAATCAACGAGATTATTACGTGCAAAAGCCTGCTAATTTAAATAGAGTTAGGTCGTTTAGGACAATAATTGCAGCTTATTTATCGTATTCACTAATTTTATGCATATCAAATTGCAAGAAGGTGGAATTAACCATTGATGATAGGCCAAAACTAACTAATCAAACATGATACAATGTGTCAGAGATGTAGAGTTAGCTGTGCTAATAAATGTTTAGTGAATGGTACTAGATACAATAATAGTATATCACCGTCCCAGCCAGAAGAACTGCAAATATGCGTGTACATACAAACATGCGTTCAGGGAGAGGAATTGTTTATTGTTCAGAGGTTGGAGATATTTTTAATGCCTATTATTTAATTTTCAATAAACATTTTTTGAATACATTTTAGTTATTCAATTAGGGCTGCTTGAAATTATCAAAACTAGCTACTAGCAACTATTTTTTTATTAGATCATGATGGTACTTCAAACCCTTAAACCCCTATTGATACTTTTATTATCTGAGTTGGCATTTACAATGGGCTAAAAGGAAATAATAACTCTCATAATGTAGACTAATGATCAAAAGTAAATGTAAACACCGCAAAAATTTGTAATAAATGCCTCCTTCAATCTTTGCATGCAAACTTTTACATGAATCTGGATCAATGATTTGTAATGTCGGGGGATTATTTCCTCGTCTTACTTGGTGCGTCCCATATGGAGTATGGTTTTTTTCACTGCTCATTCATTCATTGAACCAGTTGCCAAATAAAAAAAATTATTCATTGACGAACGCAATTGCTTTCTTTTCTTGATGAGCGACCATTGCCCTATCATTGGGCCATGGTTTTGACAATTATATTTAGGAAGAATAGTCTCACAGCATGTGTTACTTCCCATCAAGGATGTTTGGGTGCTCTAGCCAAAACCCTGATCCAATGATATCACAGTGTTCTACAATGACTTTTCTATGACTCTCACGAGAATCATCATTCTCTTGATGCTCGGGAAACTTGCCTCCTTTGTTCCAGAAAACTGAGGATCCTTGTCTGAACAAGATGGGCAAACTATTATAGTCAGTTTCCAATTCCTCAAGTCTTTTTTGTAACTGAGCTCCTTTCAAACTATTCTGGGCATCTTTCTTGCTTTTCCCCAAAGCAACAAGCTTCCAGAAACAAGAGTTATACTGATTGTTGATGTGGCAGTCCACCTGCCTCCACGAAAGATAGTCATAGATAATCTCTCTTGATGGATAGCACACTGCTCTTCCATCAAAAGGAGGAGTGTATTTCAATTCTTTCTCCTCGAAAAAGTCTTTCCACCTCATTACATACATAGATGTGAAGAATGAAACCACAGCAGAAACAATTTCACTGGCTCTCCTTTGATATAGATTCGTACTTTGTTTCAAAATAAAGCTATGCTCATCGCCAACTCCATAGGCAAATACTACATCCGGCTGAAACTCTTCTAACACAGCCATTGCACTTGAGTTCATTAACCTGAGAGCTCTCTCATCATTAGGCTTCACAAATTCATGTGTTTCAGAAAGCTTGTGGAAATGACACCCATCAATTCTGACCACAATCCATGTGAATGGCATCAACTTAGCGTCAAATTCAAAGGACTTTACATACTCTGATTTTACATTATCAATCTCCTCTACAAACCCACCAAGCTCCTTTACTAGCGTACCCTGATCATTCCAAAATCTTCTACTAGCTATCTTCTGTGAATGCACCGTAACTATCTCTCTCCTTAGCCTCTTGATGGGATCACCATCCTCCTTGTACTTCACAATATCTTCCACTGCAGTTTTTGCAACAAATGAGCCTTGACGAAATATAGGCTCAAGGGTGGTATAGTTGAGATTGAACTCATCAAGCAAAAGATCATTTTTGTCATGTTTCTCAGTACCCTCCAGAAAATTTTGTGCCTCCCTTTCAGTCATTCCTCGTTTAACAAGATGCCAAATGCATTGATCATATTGATTCTTAACGTGACAGATAATTTTTCCTCCAAAAAAGGTATGCTTGAAGGACTTCGATAGATGCACAACTTATAACCCTTCCATGGAAGGAAGGAGGGTACTTTAATTCTTGTTGCGGGAAGGATTCACTCCACTTTCTTACATGCACAGAGGCAAAGAAGATGTGATTATGGATAAAACTTTACTAGCTCGCCTTTCATAGAATTTGGAGCTCTTCGTGAAGACAAAGCTGAATTCATCAATGAATCCATATGCCAGAACAATGTCTGCATACTCTTGAAGCACTGAAACAGCACAGGAGTTCATCAATTGCAGAGCCTTTTCATCTCATGGTTTCTCAAAATCATGAATTTTGGAGAGCCTTTCAAAGCCACGACCATTCATCCAAACAACAATCAGATTAGGAAACATACCTCATCTTCAACCTCAAATGACTTCACATACTCATATTTACTGTTTGCCATTAAACAGAACGATTGCTTTCTCCACTCAAGACAGTTATCTAATACCTCATAGGCAATATAGTTTGAAAGGGCTGAGAATCCAAATAACCATAAGAAATCAATTGCAAATGGACAAAATTCAAGGGATATATCTTAATTTGGCACATTGCCAAAACACAAAGAAAGTTCAGGGAATAGCATTAATTTGAGCTTCAATAGATGGGCGAGGCTGAAGAAGTAAAGATAAACAGCAACTCTTCAAAGTTTAACCTGAAAACATGCAAGTAAGAAGTGAGGCTTCAATACATGGGGATCCAGAAGACTTCACTCAATCTAAACAGCTAGCGAGCTTTGAATGGCCAATATTGGCCATGGCGGAACAAGGGAAAAGGGTAAAGTGGGAAAAAAGAGCAAGAGGCATCCAAATCTCTACACATTGGGGAATAGGGAGCCAAGGTTGGCCTCAAGCTTGAGCTTATGGAAGGACTAGCCTGTCCTAAAAGCCAAAAAGTAGGCCTTTAAATAGGTTTTAAGATTTGTAATGTTTAAATTTGTTTAAATTTAGTTTGATTCTTTCATCAAAATTCATCTGAGATTCAAAACACTAATCAAACCTAAACTTCATAGAGATAAGAATTTCTATTTAAAAATGACAAATTAATCAAAATACAGTACAAACTCCTCCTTCTGAGATCATAATATTTCACTTGGGCACCACTAAAATAAACTCACAGCAATTGTCATCCGTGAACCAGAGCACGCTAAAATTAATGGAAGTAAAGCAACTCAGTTTCAACTAGCAACTCCAGTTTGAACGATTAACATCAGATGGTAACTCAAAGCTCGAACTTGAAGGTTAAAAAGTAAAGCAACCAGGGCTCCAATCTTTACTGAAATTTATGCTTCAGCTAGTAACTCAGTTTCCTCGGAAATATATTTATTTGACTATTCTACCAACTCTTCGCAAATCAAAATCGAGATTTGTCACCCACAAATCAAACAAAAAGAAACTGATTGTGCCTGAAAATATAATATAGTTTATATATATAAAAAATAATCACGGAATCATAGAAGCAGAAAGTGGACAGCAAGCATAGCAGTAGAAACCAGAGCACGGTAAAAAGTGGAGAGGAAGCAAATCTCACTTACACGATCAAAGACCTAAGGGAGTGACTGTGGAGCTGAGGTCGTTTGAGCGAGATTGCCTGAGTGATTGAGACTGAGTGACTGAGATTAAGCGACACTTATGCCTCTCTGGATATGAATTACGAGCCTGGAAAGCTTATGGAGTGACGGACGAAGCAACGGTTGAGCCGTGCGGTGACAGAAGGAGCTGAGATTTGGTGAGATATGCGGAGTCGCCGGGTCGGAGAGCGAGAGAGACTCTCGTCCGGAGAATCGTGGGTGAGGAGCCGAGTGAGCGAGTAAGGAGAGCCGGGTCGTGTCGTGGTCGGTTCGGGTTCGGGCCCCATTAACATGAGAGTAAGGATTGGACCTAATTGGCACGTCCTGCCCTAAGTGAAAGAGCCAACGAGCCAGTGCATTAGCCCAATTTGTTTGGGTTTTTTTTTTTAAAATCAATGATTTTGCCAAAAGAAATATAAGATATTTTTTCTTGAAAAATACTTTTCTGATCCGCATCATTTGTTTGTGTGGCCTTACGGCGATTTGGTTGGTGCGTTATGCATTCAACTGAAGCGTCGGAAGCTCGAACTGGCAGAGGAGGAAGCAGAAGAAAGAGTATAATTCGTTTGTGTGTTATTATTTGATGATTTTTATGTTCACACTCTTATTGTTATTTTTAATTTTATCTTTTCTAAAGTTTTTGATATTGCTAAGGTCTTTCATAATCATCCCTGTAAAAGAAATAATATAAAATTTAATAAAGTTGAAAGGTTAAAAAAATAATAAAAATTAATTTGCCCATCCTTATAATTTTTTTCAATATAAACTAAATATTTGTAGTTTATTTTATTTTAATCAAGTTCTTATAGTTTGATTAATTAAATATGTTATTCTTTAAAAATTAAAATTCATAAATTTTTCTTTCTCAAAAGATGAAATTATGAATTTTAATATTTTTATTAAAATATTATTCTTTTAAATAATTTTATATGTATAGAACTTTTATAAAAAAATAATAAAGATGTAATTTATTTTTTATGCCCGTATAATTATGCACTATTAAATGAAATTCCTTCCATTCTTTTTTTGTTCAAGAGAATTTGACAATTGAAAAGAAATCTATTAAAGTTAAAGTATTAAAGTCTTTTGTATCAATTAATGTCATTGGATTGTTAGATTATAGCCATTAGAAATAGAAAAGCATTTCTTCATTTTTATTCATGAATCCCCTAAATAAGTATGTACTATAAAAGTTATATCATAATTTGTAGAAGATAATTTTATAATGACATTGCTAGCGAGATACAAGCAAAAACTTTATGGGATCTGCCTCTAAGTTAGGAAACAATAAACCGTTTTTATTGGATTGTTTGATAAATTTGATATACAAGAAAGGGACTTCTCTTTCTGATTTCTTGAATGAATTTCAAGGGCTTTGAGATAAATAGTTAAGAATAAGCATATATCAGGTTTGACTTTAAAGATGAGATTTTGGCACTATGGTTTTTGAACATACTACTTGAGTCTTAGAAGATATTATGAGTTTCTATCATTAATTCAGCCCCTAATAGTGTTAACACTTTGCAAATTGCAAAAAGTAGTGCTCTTATTGATTTTTTTTCCCCTTATCATAGTGGCATTAGAACTTGGTTTCGGTGAGGGACTTATTGTGAGGATGATGAGAAAAAAAGCCTCAGAAGCCCACAAATGTTATTGGGCTGAGTTATTTTAAAATTTAAAAAAATTGAGGACAAAAAGCATGAACCTTTCTCCACATTCTTTATAAGTTGATTTAGACACTAGTGAGGTGCAACTTAATTACCAATTCATAACAACCCACTATAAATGTTGTTTCATTGGTTAAGTTTCACTTAATTTCCGATCACTAAGAAAATCCCACTAACCCAAGATGAAGGAGAGTATAAAAAGAAAATCAATAAGCAATCAAGAACATATTCTTTCACTGTTTTTTTGATTGGGATTGATAAATCTACTATGAACCCCATTAAGACTTAACATCCTTGCATTGCTCCAAAATCCATTTGTGAGTGTATTGCTTCCTATTTTTATGCTTATGGCAATAAAATACCTATGGTAGTACAATCATTTCATTTTGTAGCATTTGCAAAGAGTAGTAGTGGGAGGCTCTCTTTTGATTAGTTATTTTATTTTATTTTTTCCTTTATTCTAGCATGCTCAGCTTGAATAACACTATATGCATACCACCATGTATTTTCTTTTATTAGAAACTTTACATATATCATTCAAGTAACCGAGGCCCTCTAGTGATTGGTCATTAATTAGAAATCCAATTCCATAAAACATGATGATGACTTAAGAGAGGGGGCTCGTAAACAAAAGAGATAAAGCATTCATTAATTGAGCATAGTGAATTAAGTCTTCAGTAGATGAAATACAAAGTACAGTATAAGATGGTTATATCAAAAGAGGCATACCAACCAGTTATAATGCCTCCACCATAATTAACAACATTAATACTATTAGAAAGAGTAAACCTGAAAGAAGCTAACAACTTGCAAGCAACATCATACAATATTTTAGTTTTGGATAAGTAAACAAAATTAGGAGCATAGGATTATACAAGTTGCTTTAATCTTTGAAGGGAGGCTCATGGAGTAGTGAAGAAAAGTCAATGTCATCCCAATCAAGATTAGGGTTATTAGATAAAAAGGCTCTTTTTGTGTGGGTTTGGATTGCAAAAGCTTGTGTTTTGAGTATAAGGTGGAAGTTCCATAATGTGCAAGAGTTTAGAAGAGGGACATCTTCTATTAGGGTTATGATCATTCTAGGATGGTGGATGTTTTGTTAGTGGGTGGCTGAGATCAGAGTTAAAGACAGTTTAAATAAATGGGTCTGGGTGTTCATTAAGTAGGAGGGCAAGGATCATTTATGGGATATAGAGGAGAAGGGTGTGGTGTAATGGGTGGGGGATGATTAAGGTTGAAACTGTTAGATGAGTTATCAGAATTATAAGATAAGTCATAATAGCAAAAAATAAAGATAGGTTGTTCTCCTTTAAAAAAGGCAATATGTTCAGGTTTGACTTCATAAACTTGGTAAGAAGTGCTTATTAGCAGAAAGGTAATTTTAGAAGTACCTCTTGTTCTGTGATTTCGTACCTAATGAAGCAATCGACTGATTAAAGGATTAGGTTGAAAGCTTCTTTAGATGTTGTTGTTAAAGCAATGCTCAAGGCTATCATGTACTAAGTTGAATCCATGTAGAGTCTTATTAACTGTTTGCTAGAATTTAGGTTCATTATTGTAACATCCTGAAAATTATTCACTTAATTAGTCAAGTTAATGAAGGGTAAATATGTAAATTTAAGTATAAAAATAGGTTTAAGTATAATTAGAGGTTGTTATTAGGTTTGACTTTAATTTTTGGATTGGGTTCAAAAGTGAATTGAGTCACTCAAGCTTGAATTATAGAAAAAATTTGATTTTTGGCCTAGTGCATTATGCTGCAGCATAATTCCTAGAATAAGTTTTTTTTTAAAAACACAAAAACGGAGGAAAACATTATAAAACAGAGGGAGGGTGACGGAGAGAGTAGTTGCTTTATAGGGCATCAATTCATGGGCATTTTGAAGGTGATTGGAGCTTGATTTCACTTAGGTGTGCCTTTCTTATCTCTTTTTCTTCTTTCTACACATTTTAGAATTGAGATTTGAGGTTGGGAGATGATGATTTTTAAATCTAAGGCTATGAGTTTGAACCCATTGGTCTACATAAGACTAGTGGGATTTGTTTGAGTTGTTTAAATCTAGTTTTAATGAGTTTGAGTATCTTTGAGCTTAGGCTCATTAGTATGGATGAAATTATGCTATAAAATGCCATAAATCATGGTGTTTAAGGTAGGTGACTGCCATTGATGTTAATTAAGAATTGTGTTAGTATTAATTGGAGCTAATGGGAGTTAATAAATCAAATATAGTGATTAAACTCAAGAGTTGACAGTTTTTGGTGATTAAAGTGTTTTAAATTTGAGACTTAAAAGTGAGTAATTTATGACATTAATGATGATTTTGGGTTGTTAGATGATATATTAGCGATTATTTAAGTTGTTAAGAGCTAAATAAATTAATGAGAGTTAAGGAACTCATTGAATGTGAGGTTGATTTGATAGTTGAGAAATTTGATTATTAAAGTATGAAATTAGAAGTTAGAAATAATGATTTTGATAATTATTAGTGATGGGTGTTAATGTTAATTGTAGACTAATCCCATAAAGTACTAGAGAACTCGAGGTTAGCTTGAAAGCAAGTGGTAATAAGGGACAAATCTTTGACCTCTCAAAGGTTTGAAGTAACCGAGAAAATTTGATTTATGCATTTACTTGTTATTTGATTATATGTTTAAATGAATTGTTTGAAAGCCAAGTGACGATTGTAAACTGATACTTGATACAAATTGTGGTAATGTGAATAACTTTATACGATGTGTTGAGATTGATGTAATTACATGTATGAGAATAATGGTCTATATGAATATACATGTGATGTGTGGATAAATGGTATATTTGAGCATAAACATGAGAACATGCCGAGACTTATGATGTAATGATAATGCGATATGAATAAGATAGAATATGTGATGAATAATAATTAAAGGTGAAGAAATTGGTTCGTGATGTTCGATGATTAATAATTTACATGCAGTGCATTTAATGAGAAATTTTATGCTAAAGTAAGTATGTTTCATTTTCATTATGATTAAGCAGGAGTTAGCCTATAAGGAGAGAAGTAGATGTTGTAAATCAATATGACATTGCCGGCTTATCGTTGAAATCGAAAGTTAGCTTAGCTGCCAACCATTAGAATTAAAAGGTAGCCATTGCCCTATTGTTGTTAAGGGATTATCCTACTTATACTTTGAGGGACTTGAACTTAACTAGTCTTTACCAGTTTATGAGAAGGTTGGATTAGGGGTATAAGACCCCATGGTTATTAGTATTGGGAGAAACCATGCTATATAAGTGAGTGTAGTAGCCTTGACTAGGTAGCTCCTCACGGGTAAAAGGCTTGGGAAGTCTAAGTTCATATAGCCTACTAAATAGCCATTGGTTTCATGTCAAAGGTATCAAGAGGGCATAAGGTTGACATCGATCATACATATCATATCCCAGCCATATAGTTGTTATTATTGTGGTCTGGCATAATTTGACAGTGGCACATGATTGTTAATATTGTGACCTTATATGTGTTTTGATGCATATCATTATATGGTCACATAGTTGTTATTTTTGTAGTCTTGCATGTTTCATAAAGGGCATATGGTTGTTAGTGTTGTGACATTGCATGCTAAATAATCT